CTCAATTGATTTTCATGAACAAATCGATCTTACTTTGCAAATCGATAGCCGTAATCGACATTATCGCCGCATCCTCCCCATGTCCAATCGTCAGCTACATTCTTTGGTTTTGCTTCTTCTGAGCAACCACATGACGCTAGTAATCCTGAAAATACATTATAAAATACGAAAAAATCTATAATAGGTTCTTGCTACTGTTTTGAGCAATCGTAAGACATTCCTACCTTGTTTACACCTTCTGCCAATCTCGTGAGTAACACCTGCGGAAAGGATGGCATAGGTGAAGGCAGCTTCACGCGTTCCTAAAAATCAAAATGAGTAGTCAGACAGAGTTTATCATCTCTGTCTAGCTTCTAAGGAGAAAAAAATGAAAAAAAAAGAATAGTGTACCTAGTTTATGAATTGGACCAACTATTCCGGATCCATAGGGCGTTGAACAATTCCATCTATTTGATTTGAATTGATATTGGCACTCCTGATAAAGTATTCTTTTTTTCGATCTTGGCAGGAGTAAAAGAAGTTGAGGAGATTACGATAGTCAAGTGCATTAAAGAACCTTCGGAACAAAAATTCTAGCCCATGATATAATTCCCGAAATTTTGTACTCTGGATTATAAGATCGGTTACCTCACCTGAATCGCCGTTTGTGCACCTTGACCTACAGCTGGCATGTGATCCTTGAATAGATCGCATATTCTTGCCTGAAATTAATTTGATTTCGGTTATTCAGCAATTCCCTAAAAAAATAAGGTGACAACTCGTACCTGCCCTGGAGACAACCCTCTTAATGAGCAAACAGGCCTCGCACTCTGTCCGGCAAGTGATGTAGAAAGTTGTGCGACAGATGACCTGCAAATAAGGGCTGGTGGTTGGGGTAGCTGAACTGTAGATCTATGAACATAAATTAATTATGTGAAGAGATAGTGCAGCTGGTTCGAATGATGTGCATTTGCAGATCATACGTGCTTGCGCTGCAGAAAGCGCGGTGTGCTATCAGTCCAAAATTTTTTCGCATTTTCTGGAGCATAACCGAGAAAACTCAAGCCGCTTTTCATCAGTTTATCTTCCATTTTGAAGCTAGTTACAGTTGCTATACCGGGTCTTTGCAT